GCTCTCCATATACAATTCCTCCGCTTGGCATATCTAGAAAATATAATTACAAAAATTAAAAGAAATTAATTTATGAAATTAAATGTAATATAATTAAATATTTAAAATAAATTGTGAAAACACTTACTTCATCGTAGTAATTAGCGCTGTTTTCATGTCTACTTGCTGCTGCTAACAATGCTTGATGCCATTTGTTCAAACTTGGCTGAAGGTGTTTCTTCCATCTTGAAGAAGAACTTTCGTGGTTCCGGATATTCAGTGGACTTGTGCCTTCATAGAACTCTAAGTATTTTTTGGACACATGAGTCCAAACACCGTCATTTGTTTGACAATTCCCAATCACACTATCTTCTGACACCCATCTATAAGTCTTGCAAAGAGCTTCATCTTCTTTTCTGGTCCAAGCCTACCTTTCATTGCAGACGAGGCCATTTAAAAATTATTGAAAAAATTGAAGGATAGATTTTTGAAAGAGGAAAGAAAATATGAGAATTGAAATGGTGAAAATTTTGTGAGGAATGGTGAATGAATGGTTTAGGTATTTATAGGGAAAAAATTAGAATTTTTAAGAATTAAAAAAAAAAAAAAAAAAAGGCTAAAAAAAATAAAAAATTGAACCCAACGGTAACTGGCGTCAGCTAGTCATTGGATTCAAATTTTTGTTTAAGCATTCCTGTTGGATATAACCGACAGGAATAAATTTATCTTAAATATATTCATATCGGTTATATCAAATAGGATTGCTGGAATTTTTTGTCAGCCTTAGGCTGGTTGGCTGGCTGCATGCGGCCAACCTTTTGGCCCTTTCAGATTCCGTGGGGCCCACGAGCCTTTTAGCCTGGCCCTCGGTTGGAGACAGTTTTCGAGCTATTTTCGACCCTATGGACCATTTGGTTTGAGATGGCCTGCTGGCCAGAGGGCTCGTTTTAGCCCTCTGGCCCTCTAAGATCCTCCAAGATATTAATATTTTAATGAACAGTACAGGGTTATATTTGTCTCCGTCTCCAACCGAGGGACAAAGGGCCAGAGGGCTCATTTTAGCCCTATCACAAAAAACCGTCTTCAACCGAGGGTCATAGGGCTAAACATAATTTATTATTTAAATTTAAAAACAACAACAACTTAAATTTAAAAACTACAACTTATATTTAAAAACTACAACTAAAATTTAAAAACGACAAATTAAATTTAAAAACTACAATAACTTAGATTTAATATCCATAATCAACATCATCTTCATCACCGCCATCGTAGGAGTATAGTTAGAGGTAAACAACTGTCGTCGACTCATAATTTCTTTTTTTTTCCCTATCAAAATAGGCCTTACTCATTGAAGTGTAATTCGAAGTGTTCCTTTCCATATTCTTATCATTCATCTCTTCTTGTATTTGTTTGGCCTGTTCTTCATGCCTACACTTCCTTTCTTCCACCTCAAGGGCATTTTGCTCCGCCAATAACCGCAATGAGGCCGCCACTTCATGTTGAGCGGCGTAATCATCATTTGCCTTGCCTTTTTCCCTCAACCTTCGCGCCTTGTTTCGTCCCATAGCCCTAGGTATGGAACCTTCACCCAAAGATGGATTTTCTACCCTTATTTGTTGAATGGTTGGAGATCCATCTTCATCCATATCTGCAACTGAGGATGCAGTTCCGAACACTGGCGTATGAGCTCTCTATGGTGGATCTTCAAATAACACCCACCCTTTACAAATTTCCTAACAACTGTGAAACTGAAAGGGTTTCGAGTTGCTCTCCATATACAATTCCTTCGCTTGGCGTACCTAGAAAAAAATTAAAGTAAATTAATTTATGAAATTAAATGTAATATAATTAAATATTTAAAATAAATTGTGAAAACAGTTACTTTGTCGTAGTAATTAGCGCCGTTTTCATATCTACTTGCGGTTGCTAATAATGCTTGATGCCATTTGCTCAAACTTGGTTGAAGATGTTTCTTCCATCTTGAAGAACAACTCTCGTGGTTTCGAATATTCACTGGAGTGGTGCATTCATAGAACTCTAAATATTTTTTGGACACACGAGTCCAAACATTGTCATTTTTTTGACAATTCCCCCTCACACTATCTTCTGACACCCATCTATAAGCCTTGCAAAGAGCTTCATCTTCTTTTCGGGTCCAAACCCTACCTTTCATTGCAGACGAGGCCATTTGAAAATTATTGAAAAAAATGAAGGATAGATTTTTGAAAGAGGAAATAAAATATGAGAATTGAAATGGTGTAGGAATGGTGAATGAATGGTTTAGGTATTTATAGGAAAAAAATAGAATTTTTTTTTAAAAAAAAGGCCCAAAAAACCTAAAAAATAAAAAAGAATCCAATGGTAACTGGCGCCAACTAGCCGTTGGATTCAAATTTCTTTTTAAGAATTCCTGTCTGTTATAACCGACATGATAGATGATTTTCTAAACCAGCCCCGGGTTGGCTAGCTGCATGCAGCCAACCCTCCAGCCCTCTCCGATTCCGTGGGGCCCTCTTAGATTCCATAGCCCTCTATCCTAGCTCTCGGTTGGAGACGATTTTCGAGCTATTTTCGGCCCTCTAGCCCTCTGGACCCTTTGGTTGGAGATGGCCTAAGGGACCCCTATAAAATTGGGGAACCTAGCAGCAAGTAAAGACCCCCAAGAAGACAGTGGACCTAAAGGTAGATAAAGAGGACCAAGAGCGCAACTCAGGTCACCACCCAAAGGCTAGAAACCAAAGAGAGCGTTAGTGGGGGCAAGGAAGGCCATCAATGGACAAGATATATGGACCAGACTTCCGAACACATTTCTCTTTTAAAAAGTCCAAAAATTTCTTCTCTTCAAAATGGAGTTAGAGGAATGATTTGTGGAGAACGTGTTGAAAATTACAAGAATTGCGCATCAAAATTATGAAAAAATATATGTCACTTATATTGGGCGGTTACACTCTTAATTACAGTACGATATTTTGTGATAAAGACTTCTACACCTGTTATGTTTTGCAAGTAATAAGATGCAAATAAATGAACCATATCAATGTGATTAATTGTGAACTACTAACCTGTCTCCATAGCATCTGGACTCTAACCCTCGAGTACTTTTCCAAGCCTTTAGTTAAAACTTAAACAAAGGCGAATAAAGGTCAAATTTTTGCCTGTTTCATTAAAGATTCTTTCTCTCTGTCATTTTCCTCCAATTAGCGAATGAATACTTATTTGAATACATATTTGTTTCGCAGATGAATCTCCACTTTATGCAGGTGGCAACCAACTTGTCTTCTCACTTGGGCTCTTTGGCCAAAACATTTGACTTGGATGTTGCATTTAATAGTGATGCGGACTAAAGGACGCCCAAAAAGCTGGCTGTTCTTTTAACTTCAATTTGACAGATAGATAATTGCTTTTCGAATTTAGGGCAAGCTTGGTATTATAGAAAAAAAAAATAGGGAGACTTTGGATGCGGTCCCTAGTTATGAACAGTCTTTGACTGAAACCTTGTTGATTTTCAATTTTTGATCCAAGTCCCTAAAATTAATTGATAATTTATTTCTATGTACGTTACTATATTTTTTAAATTAAAAATTAAAATTTATAGTTGTTTATAGTAATGAGATTTTAAATAAAAAACCATAATTTGTGGGATTAAAAATATTAAAATATAAATATACTATTGTGTGTGTGTGTGTGTGTAAACATGGGTACATTCATAAAAAATAACCAAAAAATTATTGTATCAAAACATGGGTACATTCTTCAAAATGGGTACATTTAGCAAAAATAAAAATGGGTACACATAAATAAAAAAATATGGGTACAATACAAATAAAACTTTAAAAAATATGGGCACAAAAAGAAATTAATATATGGGTACAAATTAAAACTGAAAGGAAAATTGGTACAAATTAAAAAAGGGTTGCAAATTAAAAATGGGTACAAACTAAAAATAAAAATATATGATAAAAAATTTAGCCATAAATATAAATATACTAATTGTAACATTTTTAATATTAAATGAATATATTTAGAAATAAAAAATATTTTATTATTGAAATAATTAATGATATTATTAATACAAAGGACCTTGATCAAAAATTGAAAAGTAATAAAGTTTTAATCAATAGAGTAGTAAAAATAAGGATGAAAACCTAATTACTCCAAAAAAATATGAAGCATTTTAAAAATTATTTCTTCAGAATAATTTTAATGACTCAAAAACTTGTTTAATATGAAATACAAAATTACTTTTAAATCTTAACGATTGAAGAAATAAGAAAGGGAGAGAGAATAGAGAGAGAATCCAAAGTGAGAGAGACAAAGAAAGTTGAGGGACAAGATCGGAAGAAAGAGAGAAGAGAAAGGAAGATGAGAGAAAAATTATAATATATTGGAAGAGAAATGAGAGATAAAAAGAGGAGAGTAGAGAGAAAGATCATGACATATAACACAAGGGAAGTGAGATGGTAGAGAAGAGGAGAGAGAAATAGGTTTAAAAACCGACTTAAGCTAATATTTCAAGTTGGTTTTGAGTTGATTTTTTAAAAATAGTCTTACTAAACAAGAATTATTGACCTAAGACTCAAAAATTGTTTTTGAGTTAAAAAAAATTAGATTCAAATTGCATATCAAATAGACCGTTAACGTTTTACCAATTCTTGAAACTAACTTTAAAAATGCTTCATAGAAACACTACTAGCAAAAGTACTTGGGAGGAAACGACTTTGTAGATGCATTTTGATACCTAGTTACCTACAACAACTCAAATGCAGTAAAATTTCCAAGCTTGTGGAGCTCTAAACGGTCCTCTCTGACTTATCGATCCATAGTTCTTGCCGGATCATACGGTAGGTTATTTTTTTCTATATATTGTTGTGGTTGTACAATGACCACCTTATTTGCCCCATTGGAGTGGCATGAAAATACAGAGGAATGAAAATGTCTGTTTTCCAACAGGCCCACATCTTCGATCGATGATAAAGGATTTAGTTTAATTAAACTTCAAACAAGTAAGTGCATTTGAAGATAAAAATATCACTATGTACCAATAATCATGACATGACCATACATTAAGGGCTGGTTTGGTATTGCTGTGCTTTGAAAAAAAGCTGCTGTGAGAATAAGCGGCTGTGCTGTGAGAATAAGCGGCTGTGAAATAAATCAGCAGAGTGTTTGGTAAACTTTTTTTGTAAAAGTGCTTTTGGAAAAAAAAGCAGTCTGATAGTGGATATTTTCATTAAAGGAGCACTGTAGTTCTATGTGCTTTGAAAAAAAGCCAGTTTTCCAAAGCTACAAATTGCAGCTTCAGCTTTTTCCTTTGATTTCAGCTTATTCTCACAGCAGCTTCCAAAATAAGCCATTTTTTTTAAGTTTACCAAACACCAAAAACACTCCCAGCTTTTTTTCATAGGAGCTTTTTTTAAAATCACCTCAACCCCAAACTGGGGCTAACAACTGTAAGTTCATCGTATCAACAATATGAACAACATCGACAACATGTCCTCATTTAAGAAAAAATGTTGTTAACCGCAACGTAGAAAAACTCTAGACTCTAAATGGGAGGTAGAAAGCCATAACCTAAACAACAAGAAACTGTCTGGTGAACGATATCTTCAATGCCATGCTTGTAAGTGAATCCCAAATCAGTTAGCTTCTTTGAAGAGATCTCGGAAGGTACTACATCATTTTCTTCCGCAATAACTCTGTACCTGCAAAATATGTGCATAATAGTATGGTTAAATATTGAAGGGGAAATATCGATAAATTTAGGAGACGCATGTAATTAGTAGTAAATCATTTGAGTTACAACCTCGAACCTTGAAAATATATATTGAGTAGAAATAAGGTGCTAAATCCACTGAGACCAGCTCCCAAAACAAATTTAGACTTTTGGCTTCAGTTATTTGGCCAGAAACTATGTTATTGCTCCCAATGGTAAGGTCTACATTTTGGGCTAAAAAGTTGTTAAATATCATTTTAGCCTACTATTTTTGTTTCCGTTAACTTAAAAAAAAAGATATTTGTTTAGATTAATTTTGTGAACATTTAAAAGTAACTATATAAATTTCAAGAAAATATGAAAAATCACACAATAGACACATTGAAACCAGAGTTCCACATTGATTGTGTGAATGCATGAACAAATGGATGACTATATATAGTTTTAGGGTGATATTTAAGTCAAATTTTTTTCTCAAATTATTTAAACCGTTGGATATTTTTTTTACCATTAGATTTGGTCTCATTTTATCTTTGCCATTGAATTATAAGTAAAAATAAATAATAAAAATATAAATGTTTGAAATGTGATCATTGGATTAATCAACGGTTATTTGATTTGATCTGCAAAGCTGTTAGCGGTGGTCAACTCATAATCATTCAAATAGGAAGGGAGTGAAGAAGACAGAGATTAAGAGGGGAGATAATTTTTCTCCTATCTTCAGAATTAGGTGCATCACATGTCTCGCACATCGTTATGCCGACGTTTGGTATTCGTTGCGAAATCCCACGCGTAGAGGTGAGTCCCACTCGTTTTGGTCTGGCCACTCTTTCGGCCACCACTGGAAGCCCAATCAAAAGGCAAAGGCCTAAAATTATAGGCCTTGGACCAGAGTTGGAATTGGTCTAATTAACTTTACTTTCATGCTATTAGTCATTCATTTGGTCTTTTGAGAAAATGGTTATTGAAGATATATATATATATATATATATATTTTTTTTTTTTTTTAACAAACAATATTATCTATAATAAGGGGAAGAGAGTGGGCTTAACCTCACAATGTATATATAGCGATGTGATGAGGATCTAAGTTGAGAACTTAACTTGAGGAACATATTGTTTGTCTAAATACTTCAACTTGAAGCCCACCCATCGTCTAATATGATAAACCACTTAGTTTTTCAATTAATTTGGGTGGCGGTAGTTGAATTCAGGATTTCATCCAACATTAAGAAGAGAAGTACCTCCGAACATATATGTGACTTGAAACGTTTATAACAGAAAAAGTATACCTGTTTGAATTTGAGCAAGGATATGCCTGAGCTAGATAGTTAAGCAACTTGGATATTGGACAACTTTGGGCAACGCATACGTAACGACCTTCAGCTTTGGCATGCTCCATTAAAAACATGTGCGCATTGCATGTATCTTCAATGTGAACTAACGCAATTGATCCCATCCTTGCATTTACAGCAGATAATATGCCATAGAGTTCAGAGTCACCTGCATAGAAGATCATATTCATAGCTTCAATTGTCTTTACGATATCCACACCTTTTATCTGTGGAAATTCTATAATAGCACGTTGCATTCAATGCAACATAAATGAACGCGTAAGATTTAAAGAAATGGATTTTGTACTTTCATTTACCCCATTAAAAAACCCGGTGCACTTAAGGGTTAAGGCCATATGGTATTGTAATCACACCCCTTATTTTATTTACGTATAAAAATAAATTTAAACTATATTATATTGGAAAAGCTGCATAGTTTATTTGTATATTCAATGATAAATTTTTCTCGTACCATGGGCATTTTAAGAAGGGAAGAAGAAGATAGATACAGCAGAACCACCTGTTACTGGAGAAAGAAGAACTTGAATGCTTGATGGAACTTTGGAAGTGAGAAAAGGCCCCCCAACAGTACTTGTTATGACTGATACAAGATTAATCCCTTTCTCACTTGCAAATTTGAATGCTGCTTCCTCCGTGAGAATCTTCAAAAGTACATAAACCTGTCAATTAAAGAAAGAACGTTTTTCATGCACAATGAAGCCTCGTTTGTTACGTCAAACCATACTGACTATTTCAACTGGATAGACTCGGACTACTAACTATTTTCTAATAGTAAGAATAAAGCATGATAGAGAGAAGAGGAAACATTTACCCATCCATTTGCTTTTGCAGTTAGAACTTGATCAACTGGAGTTTGGCAAGACTCATCAACAACAACTCTTGCATTTCCGTTTCCGTCTTTGGCGGTGATAGTACTAATGGAAGAGGTGAGTACAACCCTTTTCACCGTTCCGGAATTCACACAGGATTTGAGGAGGTCTAAGGTTCCTTTGATCGCAGGCTCAATGATATTTGATCGAACATAACTCTCTAGAGATCAAAATTTCAGATAGGAACTCGTAAGGGTTTTATGTACTAAGAGTGCATATGTGCAATTTTTGTCCAGTGAAAATGTAACATGATGCATTACCAATGTTTTCTTTGACAGTAACACTGAATTCCATGGATGCTGCAACGTGAAATACACCGTCGCAGCCCTTCACAGCCTCGTCGAAGCTTCCTTCTTCTCCCAAATCCGCTCGGAGCAATCTCAACCGGTCAATGCTTGTCCACAATGATAATAGGTGCAAACACTTGGCTGTGCAATTTTAAGTGGAAACTCATCACCCTTATTGAAACAATATGAGTAGTCCGGTTGTTTCGGCTGATAATTAGATTGGTCTTGATTCAAAGAAAGCCCAGATGTGCAAAGCAATTTTCAACTTGGGCTAGTGGTGGCTTTGGTAAAGGCGGTAGCCTATGGATTATTTAATTATTATTATCCGGCAGCTAATAGGCAGCAGCTTTACAATTAGAAGTGACAAGGAGCATATGATAGCCAGAAATGGGTAGATAACGAAAAGGAAAGAGGTGACTCACTCTTTACCAAAGGCAATCGTTTGGAGAGAAGTGCACTAGAAAGAGAAAGCTTGGACACTCGGGCCAAAAGTCTATAAAAGCAACAAGAAAGGCAAGCAAAAAGGACTCTCAACACTCTGAACTCAACAGCAAGAACCCTAGACAACCTTGTTATTTTCTATCATTTCCTTTGTCACTTTTTAGAAGCTCTGCTGCATGTACTCATGTAGTATATATTCCCTTTTGTGAAACTTTTAGTGCTATTCCATTAGAGAAATTGCTTGTTTTGTAAAACACAAGAAGAAATGCTCAGCGAGGAGACAAACCTTGTCTGCCAAGGTTGAAACCTCGCCCAAACCTCCTTTATTTACATTTCTGTGAAGTAGATCTGGCTTTTATGTATTTTCCTTAATCTTTATGTTGATCTCCAATGCTTATTTCAAAGTTTTTACATGCTTAATCATGTTGAACCAAATGTTTTTACTTACCTTGTTGCTAATCAAAGTTGGATCTCAAGAAAGTTAGCAACCTGAATGAAAATAAACCTTTCTATAACTTGACATATGATGTACAATCAAAAGTCCTTGTTTACAAGGTAGAGAAAAGAACTTTTTACGGACTTAACCCATTTGTAAACAATCATTTTTTAACTAAGGAGTCTAAGTAACTTGCGGCGCAAGTAATCGACTTATTTGAAGACTAAAAACTCAATCTGTTCAATAAAGATATCGATGGCACGACCAGATTTCTTTTAGCTTTGCTTGAAAGCCTAAGGGCCCACAAAGGTCCTGCAAAGGCACCTTTCAAACTAACTCTAAAATCATAATGCATAAAATCAGGCAGTGAACCTTGCCCGACTGGCAAGACAAGGGGAGTTATGTGAGGGACATTCTAGCCCGAACACCAGTTACTTATAAGCATATGCGATATAAGGTTCCATGGAGCACATGTAATATGAGGAGTATTCCAATACTTATAAGCACATGTAAGGTCCCTCCTCCTATCAATGTGAGATTCTTTCTCAACACCCCCTCTCATGTGTGGAGAATTTTAAAGCCTAACACGTGGACAACACAAACGAGGTGACGTGAAGTACATGTGGACCTTGGACTTCACACATGAGACAACCTCTCTGACACCAAGAAGAAGTTGAGGTTTTCCAAATAAAACTAATTGACTATATAAGGAATAACTCAAATACTTATAAGCACATACAAGGTATTTTCTATCCCAGTTGTGGGGTTCATACTCCCAACGGCATCTCAACTAGAAACTAGACCTATTAATTGGACCGGGCCAGCAGAAACTTACATTCCTAGTCTATCAATCAAATGCCATACTTGGTTTATTCTCAGACTCATATTTAGAAGGGTTAATTATAGTTATAGTATGGTGCAGAAATTCCATTCATACACGCATATGTATATTTATATATATTGACATTGGGATCGAATTTAAAATGCATGTAATTATTACTTAACCTTGGTAGTCACATGACTCTAAGGCAGGCCTATTGATGATTTTTCTAGCTAAAACAAACTTTGACTAAAAAAAACTTTACCAACATCAGAATCCCAATTTTTTTTTTCAATAGCTCAAATTACTCAACAGTATGGAAAATGAATAGTCATGATCAAATTAGAAAAATACTATTTTTGCATACTTATCAATTTAATAAATATAAAACCCCAAATATTAAGTAATCCGGACTATTGAAGACTTATCCCATAAGCTGATGTCAACTCAAATATGATCCTTCTTTCAGCTACTATGCAAGTATCGATGCTTTGACTTAAAAATTACGCACATTTTAGAAAGTTAATGTTACTCATGTGAAGGACTTGAATCCAACAGGTTAATTGTCACCATGAGGTGACCATTAATGTAAGATTTATGTGTAAGACTCTCTCAACATGATCTTATATTAGTTGACGAAGCTTTCTGGTGGTGGTGAAACCAGAAATTCTCTCTCCTTACTCAGGGTTCTTCTGCCATCTCTCTTTCTCCCTTTCTAGTTCAAAGATCAACCACAAAAAAGTCACACAAGCAAAAATCTAAACAAAGAAAGTTATGTTGTTCTGCTTGGATGAAAATAAAAACTTGAAAAATAAAACCAGAAAACATTAAGAGCTTGGTTAAAGAGATGAACAGACCAGGATCACGGACTGTGGCATGAACCATGTGGCCTTTCTCCAGGAGGCTCTTCACCAACCAAGACCCTATAAAACCAGTGGCTCCGGTAACACAGTAAGTTGCCATAGCTCTCCCTTTCTTTTGCCCGCACGCTGACACACACACACAGAAATATATATAAACACACAGAGAGATATGCATATATAATCAATAGTGTTGGCTGTTGTAATCATGTAGCATATATAATATTCATATCCGAAAAATAGTATAATAAGAAACCAATAGGCGACCGACAAAGCATGTGAGGCGATAGTAATAAATCGTTTTTTTTTTTAAATTTTGGAAAGCAAATATTTCCATTTCTGGTCTACCATGTATGGAAGTCACATCAATTACAAATGTACTATTTTTGAGGGACAATGATTGTCTGCCCGATCTCGTGCTTTTTCATGTCTTTTTGTTTGTATGGTCACGGTTAAATCACGTCAACATTTTATGTTACTATTTATTTTTGTCTTATTATCTTTATAAAAAAATAATATAAAATGTTGACGTGGATTAACCGTAACCACACAAAACAAGAGAACACGGAAGGGTACGGGAACAAAAAGGGCAGACAATCCTTGCCCATTTTTGAGATGAGAGTGTGTGTTGTCAATGCATGCATGGTTGCCAAATGTTAAATCATCCACGTGATTTGATTTGTACACACTCTCCACATTCATACAATTGGGTTAACATATTTACCCAAAAAGGCCAAAAAAAGAAAAGAAAAGTATTTACTATTATTAAGAGGACTTTTTTTTTTTTTTTTTTTTTTAAGTGAGACTCTTTAAATAGACTCTATGCTATCTTATGCTTTCTACACAATGTTCTGTAGTGTTAACATGAGAATTGATATTAAACTGTGAAGTGACGTAAAGTTTATAAAGAGTTTCACTTTTGAGAAAGTCTTATTAGCATTTCTATTTCCATATTAATTTATCCATCATGTATGACGTAGAAGTGTTTGATTTGCAGTATTCGAACTTGAGACTTGACATATCACTAAATTAAGAACTAGATAAATAAATCTGTAATAATAATGCATATATTAAGGGAAAAAAAAGTTTGAAGAAAGTATATTCTTGTGGAAACTACACCTCTTGGCTTACTAAAAAATGACTAGAGTTGTAAACGAGTGGAGGCAAACCGAGTATCACTGTCGTCAATTTAGCTTGTTTTAATATTTCTCAAACTTGAGCTACGTTTGACTTGCTTATTCTACAAGCCAAGTTCAAGCGAGGTTTGAAATTCAAACTCGATGCCAGATTCAGTCTGTTTTGAGTTTAGTATAATAAGTTGGTCTGACCTTACAACAAAAAATCACAAGTTAATTGGTGGCATATTTTAATGATAAATATATAACACAATTTCACACATATATAGTACTTTGAGACGATCACATTTTTCATAACTTTCTCATTTTTTGTTTTTTTTAGGTGATTCGAAATCCCAAGCTGAATCAATTTATGTGTTCAAGCTGAATCCAGTTCTACAAATTTAATATGGTGCTAAAAATATTTCGTTGAGTTTCTTGCCATCTTTTTTGTTACCAAAACCGGCAGCAGTGCGCGGACAATTTTTCTATTTCTTATCTAGACAGCAAATAAACACAAAATGCTAGAGTTGATCAAATGAAAAATCCACCGTTGATCCGAATGACCTGACCATTGACCCACTCGCCTGCATCCGCCGCTAAAAACCCCACAATCCCAGACACATCCTTGGGCTCGCCCAATCGACCCAGAGGGCAAGCATCCTCAAGCCTCTTAACCATCTCCTCACTCTTCCCGGCAAAGAACAACTCCGTCGCCACCGGCCCCGGCGCAACGCAATTCGCAGTTATTCCAGTGCCCTTGAGCTCCTTGGCCAAAATCTTTACCATCGTCTCCACCGCCGCCTTGGAGGCCGCATAGGCTGCGTACCCAGGCATAAGCCCCCCGACGACCGACGACGTTATCATAATAATTCTCCCGCCGCCGCCGCGCTTGACTCTCTTCGCTGCTTCCCTAGAAACCAAAAACGCCCCTTTGGTGTTGACATTGAATGTGTTGTCCCAGTCCTTCACCGCCGTATTGGCCACGCTGGGATATTTGGGATCCAAAACCCCCGCGCTGTTCACGACGATGTCGAGTTGGGTCCCGAATTCTTGCTCGGCTTTGTCGAAGAGCTGCTTCACCTGATCCGGGTCCGAGACGTCTGCTCGGACCGCAATCGCTTGCGATTTTGGGGTTGTCTGGTTGAGCTCCGAGACTAATTGATCTGCTTGCGCTGAGTTTGATGAAGCGTAATTGACAACGACCTTTGCGCCGAGGGAGTGGAGGTGAGCTGCAATGGCACGGCCGATGCCGCGCGAACCGCCGGTTACGATGGCTACGCGGCCGTTGAGGGGCAGGGAAGGGGAAAGGGAAGAGGAAGAGCAGTGTTCAGCCATGACTTAGGGATCTGGGATGGTGATTATGGAGATAATATATTATTATTTGGTATGCAAATCGTTGGATTTTTCAAAGGGATGATGCGTCAGCACTTACATAAGCGTCACCAAAACTAATTTTTCTGTACGCTCTAAACACCAAACACTAAAGTTACACATATCAAATGTTGATTTGTTTATCTACGTGACAGTGACAGAGGCGGATCATATGTGGCGTGACGTTTTGTGCTAATTATTTAAGAATGGATAATATTAAGTAGATTAAATTTCAAATTAAATTTGTAAACCGAATGATATGTCACTAATAAAAAATAAGTACGTTAATTAACAACAACCACATCATTTGGTTTCTCTAGCATTATTCTTTAAGAATAGGTCGTACCCAGTGTACAAGGCCCACGTAATATATTTTTATAATAACTCTTGAGATGGTACATCAGGTGAAGTGTTTCAAATAATTATAAAATGAGATTTAGTTCACAAATTTCTACACAAAAATAGTTAATGATCAGTTGCGCGCTGCCCATAATGCCTTGCCCTGCCCAATGTTCATCGAGGCATTTCATCGAGCAGTTAAAGGGCATACATCAAGGACAATTCTAAGCTTAAAAGGGACAGCACTCATGTCTTGTATAGAGATTTGCCAAAGTTGGGAGGGTCAGCTGACCCATCCCGCCTCTTAATGGGTCCGCCAATGCTAATTGGTAATATTATAATGTCAAAATCATATGTGTAAAGAATTAATAAAAGTTGAGACCATTTAATCAACATATAAGCCGTATTGAAAATATTACGAGAGTAAAACCCAAAAAACATTTTTTCTAAAAATGCTTTCAATCATTTAAAAACACTAACCAGACGAGCTCTTTAGACGAATGAAACTTAACTCTCCCAATCTCAATCCATCTGCTACCTTCAACTTTGCCAAATTTGGAAATTAGCTCCACTTCTTTCTACAATATTGAATCTACCGAGTTATCTCCAATCCTACATAATCCTAGGCACCAAACGTATAGAGTGCATGAAGAACAATCCCTCATGACAAATCTGTGTTCCAAATGACCAAGTCCGGCGTGCTCAGTCTCAATGCATTCAAAAGATAACTTGCACGTTTTGGAGGACGATCAACATTCTAATTTCGCATTCAACCAACACAGATAAACAAATTTATATCACTCAGCTGCTGTGCATCATTCAAGAGAAACCAAATACAAACTTACAAAATGATATTAATACATCCGGAGTTTCTAATCTACAGCGCGTTCAGGCAAGATTTGGATCCTTACGCAGCAGTGACGGCTTCTTCAGTTTTCTTTTTTTCTTCCTTCAATTTTTTCCAGTTCTCGGTGCTATCTATTATTTCACCAGTTTTGATGAGGTAGCGAACTCGTTGTCCATTTTCCAGAATTTTATGACCCACCCGACTTGCTACATTCTTTTCTTTCGAGAAAAGCATCACGTTCGAGCTGTGTATAGCTCCTTCTACCTGGAATATGAAACTTAAAATGTTTATTTGTAATTAAATGAAACTAGCAAGCAAGGAAACAAAAGTTGACGGCTCCAAGGTTCACGAAAGAAAAGGAACCTTAAGAATCTGTCCTGGTTCTCCCTCTTCCCTGCTCTTCATATGCTTCGTCTTCAAGTTTATTTCCTTCACTATCACGGTGCTATTGTGCTTAAAGATCTTTGTTACCTCTCCAGTTTTACCCTTTTCATGTCCCGATATGACTTTCACTGTATCCCCAACCTTAACATGCATTTTGTGCAAAACTGGAAGGCTGTTTGGCTTGCATTCCTTCCGCTCCCATCTTTTGAGCTGCCAGACGACGAAAAAAGCAATACTTCAGGAGATGAACAGCCCTAATATGCTACATCATATCCCATTTACCAAAAACAGCTTTTTAAAAAGAAAAAGATACTAAATTATGCAAACCAGAAATTGAAATAACGTTTTCTTGGTTTAGCCAGCATATCAAGATAAAAGACTCTCCACCCCAATCGTGAAATAGTTGCAATGAAACGCCTTCTTTGTGATTACTGTCAGAATATCCCACTTAGTGGTGCGTGTCAGCAGATATTACAAATCAAATTACATGCTTGAAGATTGCCTTCATATTATCCAGCTACAAACAAGCAGAAGCATCACTTTCTAGAAGCTAGTAAGTTAGCAATTCAACTATACATGCATCAGATTCTGATAGTATAGGCAGAGAAAATAGATAGGACTCGTGATACTAACCTTCACGACGATGAGGCAAGGCTTTACTGTTAACTTGGCCTGCGCACAAAACAAGCAGATAAATTGTTACGAATGTTTCTCTTTTGTCCACCCAGTGATCAGAGTAATTCAAACTCAAACTACAATGTGAATGGCATAAAAACAATTACCATCACCTTGACGGTATCAAATTTTGTTTCTTTGAGATGACAAGAAAGAACAAAACATAAAAGAAAATCCATGCAGAATTACAGGCTTGGAAAACATATCAGATTCTTTTTAAGAAACTTGTTAGTAAAATTAAAATATAGTATCAAAATTCAACATGACACGTTTAGTGAAAAACTTTACGAGATCCCATCTATTGGAGGCGTTAACACAAAAACTCTGAAAAGAAATGAAATTATTCTAACAGAATGAACCGATATGTGTGTCACGATCAGTATGTAGAGTTCAGAAAGCCCCGCTTATGACTATGTAAACCGAAAGCTCACTCCAGCTAAACGTTCATTTCATACAACTCAGTCTTATGTCAATGAAATCAAGTATAAACATTATTATCCACTAATATAGGGCTACTTATAAACCCGGAAAACCCCAAATCATTGATTAGGGCATTAGCACATTGTCATTATTAGGTAGTGGGGATAAAATACAGAAATTGTATCAGAAGTTATTAAGAAACAAAGTACTTAAAGGCCCTATTTCTAAATCTTATACACAAAATTGTGTTCTTAATTTCTTATATCCATCACAAATTCGAAATATTCTACCGGAAACCTTCGTTTACCACTAAAACTGTTCAACCAATTCCTTCATCTGTTTTTTATTCACTTCAAACAATGTCAGAACCATAACCAAAGGAGGTGCAGTTTCTTCAAATACTTCAAATACATTAAAATTTATCAATCTCCTTTTCACTTCACCTATTTGTAGAACCCCCATTTTTGCATATTAATAGAGGAATTCAATTCCACAAAGAAAAATAAAATCACATCAATTTGCAGAAATCACTGTAACAAAGAGTGTTCAGTTTAAGCAAAACCCACTTCACTGTTACAGGCAAAGAACTTAAATGCAGCAAAATACATGCATATATAGAGGTATATGTAAATATTTTATATTTGATATAAGAATTGGGGGAGAAAGTAAAACGTACCGGGACAGGGTAAAGAGTTGGGGGGAAGAGGCGTTGGCCGAGGAAGGAGTTAGAGGAGAGAGAAAGAGAGGTCATGGAGCTCTGAAGTGCAGCCATGGCTGCCATTTTCGTTGCTTGGCTATGAATGTGACTGCGAAATGGATAATACAGAGAGACAGAGAGAGTGTAAATTTACAATAGGATTGGATTGGGATCAAACGACGGCGTAGCTGGTCTTTTGGTGGGTTTTGTGGTAAGCTGACATATGCATGGAGGGTAAAGCCCAGCCCAAATTTTGGTGGGCTGGTCGGAATAACGACTGTGACCGGATTCGTAAATCTCTTCGGCCGTTAATATTGGATTTGAATAATTGTTATTAGCATTCTAAAAATGTACTTAAATACTTCAAAATTTCGATATTTAGAAAGAAAAATACTCTAATATGAGAAGTGTACACTTAGATCTTAGAGTGTCAATAATAATTTATTTTAAAAGTAATGTGACTGATTATTTATTTTGAAAAAGTCCAACGTACCAAACTAGAGTGATTTTGTGGACATAGAGTCGTCTTTGGACACCCAAAACTTAACCATGTATATTAGAACGGGAATGATTTCCGCATTCTTTTTTCTTTGTCTGAAGATTTGTAAGAAAAAGAAACTAAAATAAAAAAATAAGTGCATAAAGAGAACGGAAGTGCAGTATTATTTTGCCATTATAGCACAATCATCGGTTGTTCCCAACTTTTTTTTCTTTTTTCTTTTTTGTTGGTGGAAGGTTTGCTTCCAATAAGAAACAAAAATTATAAATTATGCAAACACTGAAAATAATGGGAAATAAGTTCAAAAGCGTATCAACTTTTCCTTCATTTCCATTGTAAAGTATGATACATAAATCTAGAAATCTGTCATCTGAGTAAAACAGGGAGGAAGAGAGAAATGGATATGTAACAGGGTCGAATGTTGAACCGAAAACCAGTGTCACTCGACCAGAAATATTAACTACTCGAAATCCACTAGTTCTAAGCCCAAGGACTGCACATGTATCAAAAAAGCAAACCCGAAAAACCAAGAAATAAGAAAGAAAAAAAAAAAAAGAAAAAATGGGGAAGCCAGCGTCTATACTTCATAGGTATCGGCTAGGCTGTCCACAGACTCCTCTCTGTGGTGTTCGGTCATTTGGATTCTGGTTTCTGGTTGGTTCACGTCAGTTGTGCCTTCATCCGTTACAGATGACAAGGATTTCACATGATTCCTGTTGTGCCTCATTTTGAGCATCCGCGATAGCACTTGTACGATGTCTCTCATGGAAGGTCTTTTTTTGGATGCACGACTGACACATTTATATGCCAGAGCTGCCATTTCGTTGAGCTCTTGCACATGGAAACTCCCATTAAGACGCGAATCCACAATTTCTTCCCACCCAAGTTTCCCCTCTGTATTCATCGCAGCCTATTTTTCATACAGAAATATCATTTGATGTGCAAAGTAAACAGCACTATTGGGATTCAAGTGGACAAGTACATCTGCAAAAATAGTATATGGTAGTCTACTATGTTCTTAGGTTCCATGTTGTCACAGGGTCAGATTACTTCAATATCGGAATTCCTTGTGTTCCAGTTTCCTGTTTATTTTGGATAACCTGTGTGTGTGAGTGTGCATGATAAGTGCGCATATGCAGTGTGTGTGTGTGTGAGAGAGAGAGAGAGAGAGAGAGAGAGATTTCTTACAAGTTCAACATATTCCATTAAACCCTGTTGAGGATTTCTTGCAGCTATGAGCTCAAAGAGCAAAACTCCATAGCTGTAAACGTCACTTTTCTTGGTGAAATTCCTTGTAGATATATATTCAGGATCAAGATAACCAAAAGTTCCCCTAATATTAGCTGCATGTTTATCCACCATTTCTTCTCTTGAAAGTCCAAAATCAGCAACCTGCTTGATCCAACATAACCCTCTATAATATCTCAATTGGAAGCCTAACCTTTTATTGTTTTAACTACATATATTAAGCGAAAATCCAAAAAGCAAGAAAATTTTCAATATTTGGAAAGGAAGTAAATCAAATATTTCCTCTTCACACCACACGATATTATTTCAGAATCTGCAGTTGGAAACAATTATAGAAAAGCTGGAAGACATACCCTAGCTCTCATGGATTGGTCCAACAGAATATTGGATGATTTAATATCACGGTGTATTACAGGAGGAACCGCCTGAAGTAAAAAAGTGCAAAATAGATGAGTAAACACCTTTGGCATGAATAAAACCATGTGCAGGCATACCCAGGCAGAGATGAAATTTTCTGTGTCACACAATACGATTTACTTACTCCATCATGAAGATACTCCAAGCCCCTTGCTACGTCTAGAGCTATTAGAACTCTCAAATCCCAGCTCAATGGCTCATGCTTTTCACCTACGTAAAGAAAACCATGCTATTCTCAGGTAACGATCTTATATATGCATATCGACTGGAGTTCATACTGTGTGATAAATCTAATATATTATATTAAAATGAACAATTTGAAGTTGACAGCCATCTTACTATATAAATGAGAGGCCAAACTGCCTTTACTCATGTAGACATATATAAGCATATGTTGGCCTTTCTCTGCACAATATCCAATTAAGTTCACGAGGTTTCGGTGATGCAACCTTCCCAATAGCTTAACCTGAAGGGGAAAGAAAAGAACGAATGTGAGGGACTACAACAGACGAAGTGGATTAACTTAAAAAGGAAAACTATTACATGACATTAAGCATGTTTATGATTTTCCAAATTCTCCAAAAACAAATCTCCTGAAAATATCTGTAAGTGGATTAACTTTCTTATATTTCACCAAGCTCCCAAACATTTAAACACATTTCCGATAAATTTATACCATTAATCAATAACTCATAATCGGGGCATATAACTAGTAAATTATTAACCATTAAACAATCACTACCTCTGTCTGGAATTCTTTCTCCCCTTGCGTAGAATCAGTTGCAAGCACTTTAACAGCGACAGTCTCACCTGTTGACATCTGAGCTTTGTACACAGGACCAAATGCACCTTGCCCTATCAATGTTGTAAAGTTATATGTTGCTTTCTGCAGATCCCTGTATGAACCCCATTAACAAAAAATTAATAAACCAAATGGGAAAGAAGATCGAGGCCTTAAGTGTGCAAAATAAGTTGCATCTCTTTTAAAAAGAATAATATATTAAGGAGTACTAAGCAGTTAAGACTTTGGAAGAAAGACACACCAAAAATTTCATGATGAATCAGGCGGATTATTTACCAGTGTGTATCATCTTACGAGAATACAATATGGTGTGGACCTAGCTTATCAATTTTGCAATTATAGATGTACAGCATTTGGTATCTCACATAACAGTTGAAGCAAACCACAGTAAATATCTAGGCATATAAAGCCTTTGTGATTGTGTTGTATCTGTGTTTTACATGCATATCAAATTACCATTCCGCTGATAAGAATTCAAGCTATCCACCCTATTCACATAGATTGATTATCTGGCGTTCAAATGTTTAGAATAAGCATGCAGGCTCATTATTTAGCGATTACCGGTTAGTCAATTCATATTATCACTAACATTCTAAAGATAGAATGTACCATATTTCCCATAAACAGGATAGAAATGGTGCCTGTTTTCAAAAGTGCCACTGCTAGGTAATTTAGGATTCGTACATGCAGAGTTCTGAATCAATCATACCAAACATTCTCATCACGGATAATGATATAGGATATGATAGAAAGACAATCATGTAAGATTCTAAATCAAGAAGTAAGGTACATGAGAGGAATAGGTTTTCTGGAAACATTACTTGTAAGAATACTCGGGAATTCCAGACATTGAGACTACATTACTCTTCTTAAATCCTTCATGCCAGAAGGATTTACCATTCTGTCCAGATCTTACAGGCGAATCCGGACCAAGTGTCGAGTCTGACAATATAGTACAAGAGTCAGCACCATTAGCACGAATAGGAATAGTTGCTGCCCTCCGAGAACTGCTATTCCCTATCTGCAAGCGCCTCCTATGGTACCTAATGCAGAAGAATCCAGAAATTGCCAAAAGCACTCCAATCACTACCCCTATAGATAATCCAACAATAAGCACAACTGGCTCGGCCTTCATCTTCTCAACTATACTTTACTGTCTGGTCAATTATCCATCCCATTAAAAGACCTGAAAAATGCCAATCTGATAACTTAGCAAAAACAAAAGAAGGCGCCACTTGTTTATAGCCTACTAAGATATCAACGTCATGAACTTCAAAGTTGTGAGGTTGATTCCAAACAATTTGTTTGAAATTCATGGCAATCAAAATAATCAAATACAAACTCCAAATTGTTCAAAAGAGAACATTCTGGTATACTATTCTAGGTTCCATTTCCAATTTTGGACAGGAAACTAACATTGAATAAGCATTGACTAATTCTACTATTTATGAATTTAAAACCCTTGTAACAGTAATAAGAGAAAAATAACAGTTGGTATTAATCTTTTATCTGAATTTATTTTCTGGGGCACGATGGAATAAAAACCCAACAGTTTTCAATCAAAATAAAAGCTTAATTAAAGTGGGAAAAAGCAAAATTCAGCAGTCTAACTGTCTATGTTTAGCAAACTATAGTGAAAAACAATTACTTGATCTGCCTAGCATTTAACCAAATCAAATTAAACTGAGATCCTATATGATACCAATAGATGCTACCAATGAAAATTTCCAGATAGTTGACAATCTAAGAAATTGGGTCAGTCACAAACGCAATAATGCTCTGTTTGGTTGCTCAGAAAATAAGCAAAAGAAAGTACTTAATTTTTAGAAGAAAAAAAAACCCGCAAAGCCAAATGCAAGTATATGGGACCAAGTTAGAGTTTTTCCACTTTTCTTTCCTTTTATTCAACTCAAACTAATTTTCTCAGCAACCAAACAGAGATTCAAGAGAAACCCACCAACAGATCATGACCAGGAAACCAAAAACAACAGAAATTAAGCATTAAAAAATCAAAACAAAAACAAAAAGAAGAAATCAAACCATAGTGTTCGACGTACAGCTTTGGGTATTACCTGTATATGCAGAGAAACAGTTACATGTTCTGCAGGAGTATGGAAAACAAGTAAAAGTGAAACCAAATGGTTTGAGATTTGAGAGAGATTCAAAGGGTGATATGTGCGATGATGAAAAAATAGTTGGAGAAAAACAAGTTGGCGTGTGAAAGTAATGGAAGCAAATACAGACAGAAGGAAAGAGTGAGTAGTAAATGGTATGTTTTGCTTGCTTTTTAAATTCCGTGAGTCGCCGCTGGAAATAAGGTAAAAGAAACGCGTCTCCCGACTCCCTATAAACGTACTTCTTGGGATTTCGGGTTTTCTACAAAACAAAATAGGTAAAATATAACATTTTCTTTTAGGGAATTGTTATTAGTATTACAAAAATATTATTTGGTACTTTAAATTTTCTATAATTAAAAAGAAATATACATTTATGAGGAGTATAAAATAAGATTTTTGGAATGCTAATAACAATTTCCTTCTTTTAATGAGAATGCATTTTATTAAAGAATTAAAAATGCCCCAAATACAAATAGCAAAAAGAAAGATACATCAGCCGATATCACCCTTTTAATGAGAATGCATTTTATTAAGTCCAAAACAAAAAGTTTGCAAGTGGCAGTTTACTACAGTGGTGGAGAAGAGCGTTGTCGTTGCACCATAATGTGGGTTCAAATATCGTTGGCTCCCTAATCTAACAAATCTATTGTTTGGCAAAATAAAATAAAAAGTAGAAGCTCAAAATACATCAAACCCTACAAGTGGCACTTTACTGTAGTAGTGGAAATGTGTTGAGTTTTTGCATGACGGCCTAATCTAACAAATCTATTGTTTGGCAAAATAAAAAAAAGTAGTAGCTCAAAATACATCAAACCCTACAAGTGGCCACTATTACTATAGTGGTAGAAATGTGTTGAACTTCGGTTGCTAATTTAACATCTAATCTAACAAAATTTATCGTTTGACAAAAAATAAAATATATCAAACCCTACATAGTCGACGCGATTGCAAAAAATGTTGCCATCGTAAAAACAAGTAAGACAAGGAAAAGAAACATTGCCATCGTAAAAACAAGTCTGAAGACAAGGAAAAGAGCAATCATGCCAAAATGAGGATATATTCACGCACATAATATGTCGACAAATAAAATACAATATGATCCTGGGATCCAAAATTTGTTGAGGCATAATTCTACAACCCACTAAAGTGTGGTTGAGAGAGATGGGGAAGAGAGGAGGTACGTGGTGAATACTAGAGAGATCTGTAGTAAAGAAAAACTTTGGCATACTGGAGAGTCATTGAGCATGTGATTTGGGGCAAGGCAGGAATGCCATGTCATATCTGGGATGAGTATGGGAGTGCAAGCCCAAGGGAGTGGGGGATGTAAGGGAAAAGCAACGGACAACAAAGCTTGGGTTGACAGGGCGGAAGATTTTGATGGAGGAGGCAGAGGAGTGGGAGAGAAGAAAGCTCAACTTGGGGAAGGAGAGTTGGCGCCACAAAGGGTAGAGTAGCCACCACCAAAGGCGAAGAAGGCGCCATAAAGGACGGGAGAAGAGCCGCCCTTTGGGGCGGCTGGAAAGACCATGATCAAAAAGATTTTATTCTAGTTTTAGGTAAAATACAACTTTGAATATTATGTTGTCGAGTTGTCAATTTAAGCAGTAAATCAAATAGATTTCGTTTTAGAGGTATATTTCGTAGGTTGTCAACGTGAGTTATCGACGACTTGTTTTTTATTTGAATATGTTACCTAGGGTGTTAGTCCAAACCATTAATGAGGTGTTAAAGTTGTATTGATGCACTATGATAAAAAGGGCAAATTTACCGTTAAAAGTGCCTATTATGTGGCTCAGTAGTGGATCCTTCCTCCCTCTTTATCTTCATCTTCTTCATCCTCTTGCAACCAATTTTCTACTTTGTGGGATACATTATAGTAGGCCATTGTTCCTCCCAAAGTTAAGATGACGGTGTCGACGTAAATTTCCGCTGTCTTCAGTCTTAACGAAAATGCACCTGCAAAACAACCATAACCTTTGATCAAGGACCTAAGCCTCATGCACCCACGAGGTGGGGGGGGGGTTAGGCCAATAGATCTCCAATGCCTAAGTCAGTTTCTCTGAGAGAGAGTAAAGTGTTTAGGGCTTTTTTAGTGTAGCCAAAGCTCCTGAAATTTGGTAGAATATGTTGTATATATAGGGAGAGGACCGACCATAGTGTTAGGGTTTTACCCTACACATGGCGGCATCCTATTGGCCAAGGATTATGGAGAAATATTCTCAAGATATTAAATAGGAAATAATATCTAGAGATAATGGAGTAATTATCCTTAATTGATTTAAATATGGATTACTTGATTGAAGTCAATCTTCAATTGGGAATGATTTGGGTAATTAATCCTTATCTTTCATGATTTGACTTTTCCCTGCCAAGGGCAGGTGAGCTGTAGGCAGTCGTATTCAGCTGCTGGGACCTTTAGGGATGTGAGCTGCACGTGGGAGTACTTGAGGAACCTGCCTATTTATTGAGGGCAATCTTGTCTTTCTTGAGCAAAAGTCCACTTGTCGCCTCTAGAATTTTTGGGATTATTTTTGGCTCCACAAATACCCTCACACCTGCTGAGCTGCACATAGGAAAAAGGGCAGTAGCTGTAGAAATCCTAAGTCGCATGGGCTTGTAGAGTTGTTTCTCAATTTGAACTTGATCTCCTTTCTTGATTTCGAGATAGACTTCTTTTACGAAAAAGAAACCAATTGCCCCCAATAACTATTTAATTTTGCCTTAAGCAGGGGATTAAATAAATTTAGAGAGCAATCATCATTCCAACAAAGAAGAGAAGCCAGAAGAAATTTTTCTTCCCCCTTCCCTAGCTTTCTTATTCTCTTGCTCTTGTAAAGAGTCGTCTCTCATTGTTGTTCTTCTTCTCCGTGCCACACCAAACGTAAGAAAATTTGAATTTTCCTTTTCTTGAGTTTTTTGGGAATCTTGGGACTTGAAAAATTGGCTCGGTGGGGGCCGAGGATGTGTGAGACACTTGGCAGGGTTACCACGGTGGTGTAGCAAGGGAATTGGCTGGCGTAGGCCAATGGCTTAGCTCGGTTCAAGCCAAAAAGATATGCGCGCTGGGGCGCGGGGAGGCCGGACCTTCAAAGCTGCTAGGCACAGGTCCGTGCAGGTGAGAGATGAAGGAAAGAGAGACCGGTATGGGTTGGGTCTCTTGCTGGCGTGTTGAGTTGTGTGGCCTTGGGCCTTTTATGGTCCTGTGGCCTTTTAGGCCGTGCCGTGGAGCACTGGGCATGAGAGAGAGGGAGAGCCTGGTTTGGGCCATGAGGCTTGGCCTGTTGCTGGGCTCCTACAACTTGGGCTAGTGTTGAGAGAGAGTGTGAGGGCTATGTGGCTTGGCTCAGAGGCGCTAGGCTCGCGGTCTTTTTTAATTTTTATTTTATTTTTTGAGCTACTTTCTAAATATTTTCCTTCGTACATTTTGTAGGGACTTTCAGATGTCTTCCTCCGATCGTAAAAGTGACGAATATCTTCCACCTTTGTATTGTCAAGGTGGTTCCTCCGGCAAGGTGGGCTATTTCAAGGCTGCGCATGTCAAGATCAATTCCGATCAGCTGTTTCAGGATTTTCTTGAGGCTTGTACAAGCATGCGATTCCATTAAGGGTTCGCATCAAGCGGGTGAAAGATGATAGCGGCCATGAACTATACGATGAAGGCACCATTCCTAGGAAGAAGGCTATTAAATTCCATCTGTATTACTTCATGTTGGGATTTACTTTTCTCATGCCACATCTTTTCCAGGAGGTGATATGCTCCATGAAATGCACACATGCTCAGTGATCCCCGAATGTAGTTCGTGCAATGGTAGGGTTTTCGAACTTAAGCAGGTTCTTTGATCTTGGCTTGACCATAAATGAGTTCTGGTACTTATTCGAAATTGGCCACAAATAAGGTGTAGGGTAGCTGAGATCTCGTCATAGACTACTTGATGCTTCCTGCAAAGGTGATCATGAGTGTGTGAGAGACACCTTGGAGGTTAGTGGAGAGTAGGAGTCGAACTTTTCTCCTAAGCTGCGTGTCCCAACCGTCTTTGTCATTGGTAAGTAAACTGCTTCATTCCTGGCCTACTTGAATTTTTTGTTGAGCTGCTCCATGACTTCAGCTTACTAATTGTCATTCTTACTTTGTGTAGATTCAGAATTTGGCTCAACTTTAAGAACTTCGGCTAATATGAAGAAAGTGCACATCGCCTTGGGCATTCCTACTGAGTACCATGAGTGGCACTGGCTGCTTAGTCATCTTTGTTAGGAGAAAGACGAGCTGTTTCCGAGGGAAAAGATAAAACTGATAAAGGATGAGGCGTTTGCTCGTCCGATCACTGTTGTAGAGCCTACTGCTAATGAGGGTGGAAATAAAAGATTTTCCTCACTTGCTTGTGAGCCTTGGGTTAAGAAGAAGCCAAAGATTTCTTTTGCTGTTTATGGGGGCTCGTTTGCTGCTGAGAGGCTTGTCATTGATCTGACTTCTCCAAAGGGGACGAAAAATTCCGTTGAGCCTGAACCTGTAAAACCTACTGCTCTGAAGATGACCACATCCATTGTTAAATGGCTTGCCTGGCGAAAAGGTTCGGTAGTGCCCCCAGTGTTCGGGTTTGTGTCGAAGCGCCCGTCGGAAGCTAAGTCTGGTTCAGCTTCTAAGAGACTTGTTGCTATGAAGAGCGGGAATGTGGATTTTACTACTAAGGTGGCACCTGGGTCTGTTTCTTCTTCCGTTGCGACTGATTTTTCTGCTGAGAAGGGGAAGTCTGCTCGAATAGGTAGTTGTGAAAGATCCACCGAGTTTGAGGCTGAAGAGTTTCTTAAGGTTTGTCCACTGTTGAAGACTAACCTGCTTGAGGATGTTGATGTATGCGCCAAGTTCATTGACAGTGTCGGGAAAGTTGTTATCCGCTCAAACTTGTTTGCAGAACGTCTTGCCTACTCAAGGAGGTCCTTCCTGATTGCTACAATGCATAAGACTTTGATCCTTGCAACTAAGTCTGTGCGCGTTGATTATGATGCTTTCAAGTGTGCTAAGAATGGGTCTTATGTCTCTACCCCCACTTTTATGCAGTTGGAGACCGCTAATCAGGAGGTCACCCATTTGAAGGCTAAGCTTAGTGTGACTCAGGCGATGTTAGAAGCATAAAGAATAAAGTCTGTCGTGTTTCTCTTGTGGTCAAGGACCTTGAATGTGTCAATTTGAAGCTA